TGTGAGGCTTCATGGGGTGCCTGAAAGCATTGTTAGCGATCGGGACCCGAAGTTCACTTCTCGCTTCTGGGGAGCATTGCAGGAGGCTCTTGGCACTCAGTTGAGACTGAGCACTGCTTATCACCCACAGACGGATGGTCAGACTGAGAGGACCATTCAGACGTTGGAGGATATGCTGAGGGCTTGCACCCTGGAGCAGGGTACTGCATGGGATCGATATCTCCCACTGGTTGAGTTTTCATATAATAATAGTTTCCATGCTAGTCTGGGTATGGCTCCCTACGAGGCCTTGTATGGTCGCAGGTGTAGGACACCTACTTGTTGGTCAGAGGTTGGAGACACAGAGCGGTTTGGATTGGATTTTGTTCAGGAGACTACTGAGCAGATCAAAATGATTAGGGATCGTCTGAAAAAGGCTCAGGATCGTCAGAAAAGTTACTACGATCTCAAGCATCGACCTCTAGAGTTTGAGGAGGGAGATCATGTGTTCCTGAAGCTGTCACCTGTTACGGGTGTGGGACGAGCCCTTGGAGTGAGGAAGCTGAGTCCGAGATTTATTGGACCCTACCAGATTCTTCGTAGGGTGGGACCGGTTGCCTACCAGCTTGCCTTACCTCCGCAATTGGCAAATTTACATGATGTGTTTCATGTTTCTCAGCTGAGGAAATATGTAGCTGATCCTTCTCATGTGGTTCAACCTGATAATGTTGAAATCCGGGAGAATTTGAAGACTCCTATTGGACCACTGAAGATACTCGAAAGAGATGAGAAGAAGCTGAGAAATAAATCTATTCCTATGGTGAAAGTCCAGTGGGAAGGAAGGACGCCTGAAGAGTCCACTTGGGAGCGGGAAGATGAGCTTCTCCGGCAATATCCTGAGTTTAAGGACAGGTACGTTCTTGATTTTGCGGACAAAATCGCTAAAAAGGTGGGGTGATTATAATAGCCCAACTTAATTAATTAGTAAATCAAGTGTAATTAATTAATTAAGCATGTTTTACTGAGTGAAATTAAGTATGAGGCTTAATAAAATGAATCTGAGTCACTTTGGAGTTAAAAAGTGTACTCAGTGAAAATTAAGGGGTATAAATGGGTACTGGCAAAAGTACCCAAAATATAAAAATAAAAATAGTAATATTCCTAGAATAATATTCCAGACTTTTGGGTAAAGTTTGGTAATTATTGGAGTTGAATAGATAGACGAACCAATACCCGCTTAAAGCCACTTAACCTATGTTAAGTGACTAAAAGCCAAAAGAATCCCCATTTTCCCCCCATTGCCGTCGACTGCAACAGAAAGAAGGAGGAGAGAAGAGAGGGAGAAGAGAGGGAAGAAGAAAGGGGAGATCATAGAGTGAGCAAATCTCAACCAAATCCATCCGTTCAAAAGCCTAAATCGCTTAGAATCTCGCCCTCTTTCATAATCCTAGCTTTGTTTTGAGTGGGGAGCATTGTGGAGAGAGATATTACCTCTCAAAAATTCGGCCCTTTGGTGAAAATTGGGGTTTTGAGAGTTTCTACCTCCATTGAAGCTTGAGGAGCCATCAATCCTTGGTTGTGTGACCATTGGTGGTAAGATTCTAACCCTTGAACCTCATGATTCCTTGAAATTTGCATGAGTTAGGGTTTGTGAATAGTAAATTGGGATTTTTATGAAATGAAGTTGAATTGGCTATGTTCTAGGAAGAATGGAGCTTAGAGCATGTTATGGAAAATGCTAGGAATGTCATTTAACCGGTGGAAATGAGCCTAGATAGTCATTTGATAATTGTTCATAATATTGGAAAATTCATGCTTGGATTGGTTAGTATTCTAGCATGTTGAACAATTAGTGAGTTGAATGATTGATTGGATCCTTGTGATGTCTAGGATTGAGACATTTGGACCAACCGTGAGTGATCAACCATTGGAGCAAGCTATGGAGCTTGATTAGCTCCATTGGATAGGTGAGTTCATGCTTATGTTTGGTATGAATTGTATAGCTTGGTTGATAGCTATGAGATGTTATTGGATGCAATATGTGTTGATTGCATTACACCATGTGTAGGTGTATGTTTGTAAAAGTTGATTGCTGAAACTGTTGGTGAAGAACAAAGGTTGACTGAAGCATTGAGGTAAGCCTTCGGACCTTGGGTGTAATTCCCTTGACTGTTCTACCAAGCCCTGAAAGGGTAGAGGTTGTGATTGTGTATATAAATGCAATAAAATAGTGTAATGCTTTGTTATACGTATGTGTATGCATTTGGTGTGGCATAGGATGGTGTTTCCCTATGTTGGTATGTTGCATGACGATGCGTAAATCATACTTGGTAGTTAGCTGGCCAGTAGGACTATTTGCATCTGAGTTTCCTTAGGACAGCTTGAGAGCTCGAGGGATTTCTCCTGGAGATGTAGTGCACTTTGCATAGATATGTATTTACTGCATTATTATTGTTATTGCTATTACACTGGTATGGAACTGTGGGGTGGAGAGATGCTCCAAGGACCCCTGGTTTACTGGATATATTCGTATATCTCACCCCGTGTTGTGGGGACCCCCTTTCAGGTAAGGATGCTGCAGGAGCCTCTGGTGGCAAGTGGCCATATCTGGATTATGCATGAAATGTGGCATTTCTTTTGAGTTTATGCATGCCTTTTGTAGTTGACATGTATAGGATTTTATTTTGAAAGCCCATGGTCATTTGTATATCTTGATTCATTGGATGAACTTAGCCTATGCTCATGCCTTTGGTTACACCTTTTGTTGATGGGGGTCAAGGGAATGATCATAGTGTTTTGTAAGCTAAGTTCTATGATTTGTAAAGGATATGTAATGTAAATGATGCCTACTTGGAATTCAATATATGCATGCTTGTTATGTATTGAGTTGTTGAATTGGTTGGGCTGAAAATCAATTAGGTACCCTCTTCGTTTAAACTGGTAAACGATGAGAAAACAAAGGTCATGCTGCCCAAAGTCTAGCTAAATCTCATGAGGAGAGGTTGGATGAGTGCTAGGATTTAGTTTTGGGGCATGGACATTTGTGGTTTGTAATGGGGATGCATATTCCCCTAGGCTTGGACTTGAGAAATGTGGGAATTGGAATTCCCTGGCAGCGCGCCCAAGCGCCCTGCTGCCCCTGCGAGTGCCAATGCATTCTGCCTCCTCGCGCTGGAGCGCCCAAGTGGGGGCTTAAGCGCCCAGGATTGCGCGCTGGAGCGCCCTGGCGTGCGCTTAAGCGCCCCTTGCTGCAGAAAGTTGGGTGGCTTACTGCCCCCTCGTGTTTTAGCGCCCAGGGTGGGGCTTAAGCGCCCAGGGTTGCGCGCTTGAGCGCCCTGGTCCGCGCTTAAGCGCCCTTCGCCACTGAAGGAGGAGATGCTTCTGTCTCTGCGCGCTAAAACGTCCCCGTGGGAGCTTGAGCGCCCAGGCTAGCGCGCCTGAGCGCCCTGTTGCGCGCTTAAGCGCCCATCCACACTGGAAATGCTAATGCTTACTGCCTCCGTGCGCTTAAGCGCCCAGATGGAGGCTTTAGCGCCCGATAGCGCGCGCTTGAGCGCCCGGTAGCGCGCTGAAGCGCGCGGGGCCTGTGACCAACACTCTCTTGTGTTGCTTCAAATGGTCCTAACTTGGGCTACAGTGCTCCGATTTGAGCACGGTTTGAAGCCACAGGTAGCTAATGAAGAAACCTACAATATAGTAGAAGTATTGAACTAAACAAGAAGTAAATTAAAGGTTTAAAAATGGAGAATGAACATGATGTTAAGCTTAATTTATCTGTTTCCGCAAGGTAATTTGGTTATGATCACGAAATTGGGTATTATAAGTTCGGTACGTTTTAAAATGAAAAATTTATCCGGATTTTAATTCAAACCCATGTGATTGTAACTGCGCTTAATATCATAATGCGATGTTAACAAACCGGTTCTAGAACGGGGTGTTACAGATAATCTATGAGATGACACATAACCCCTAATGGGGTATTTAACTTTTGTTTTCGGGTTGACGTGAGTTGTCGAACTCACTCAAATTAATCAAGTTTGTAAAAATATAGATTTGTAATAAAGTGGGCAACCTGAATCGTCTCTCAAGGAATTTGTAAGGATCTTAATCGATAAGTTAAAAACAAGAAGTAAAAAGGGGGGTTTGTGAGATTAAAAATAGATAATAAAAATAAGGACTTAAAAATTGAAATTATCAATTAAAAGCAATCAACCCAAGAATTAGGATTCCAAGATATCCATTATTGGACAAAGGATTACCAAATTGTGGTTGACCACAAGCTGCTTTACATATTGCTTCCAATCCAGTGTTTCATGAAAGGACCAAGCACATTGAGATAGACTGTCATTTTGTTAGGGAAAAAGTCCTCTCTGGAGATATAGTCACTAGTTTTGTTAACTCAACTGATCAATTAGCTGATGTTTTCACTAAGTCTTTGAGAGGGTCTAGGTTAGATCACTTATGTAACAAGCTTGGTGCATATGATCTATATGCTCCAGCTTGAGGGGGAGTGTTGTAAATGATAGTTTAGAATGGTAGTATAGAAGTCTCACATCATGTATATCTCTTTGTATTTTCTTTCTTTTAAGTTATATAATAGACTCTCCGCTGTGTAGTTAAAACACACGGATTACTTGTATATCTCTTTGTTCTTGGTATTCAACCATTATATTTATTAACATATGCTACAGTATCAGCACTAGACATGTGAAGTTGAAGTTCAGAGTATTCTCGGTAGTTTATAATTTCTGTGTTGATGTTGTTGCTCGCAGATGGATTTGAAGTTTTCCCAATCATTAAAATTTAGATTAATGAAACAGTAGGAGCTGACCTTCTTACTTGTTTGCAACTTTGATGTAGATGTTAAAAAGGGGCTAATTTATGTTTGGGGAAAAGGCGAACCTAAATTAGTTTGGGAGAAAAGGTGATATTAACGTTGATGCACCTTGACACACAAACCAATTTTGATGAGCAATATTACAAGATTTCATCTTATTTAGATATATAGCAGCATGCTCATTTTTGATGAAGGGGGATACAATATTAAACTGTAAGAGTTATTGTAGTATTTTTAAGCCGCAATAGAGACATATATAATGGCTAAAAATCTCCCAGGCATAAATTTCCTTTAAGATATGATAGATTGATCCAAGTGTTGAAATAAGCACTTGATATGTCTGTCAAGCTTCAAACCTAGATCAGAGACTTACTGATGACCCTCCTCACCCCTTCCACATGTAGGAGCATCAAGAGAAGAAAGTTAACATGCTTGTCTCTGCTTGCAAATTTCTTTGCCTTTCTTTTCTTGTTCTAAGTTCAAGATCAATGAGGAAATAGCACTTATTGTGTTCTCTTACATACTGAACATGACCATTCATCTTACTTAGGATTTTCCTGGACATATATAGCCCTAGACCTTCCTGTGTAGTCCATTGATTCTCTCCTTCAAACATATCATGAAGAACAGTGGAAGGAAGACCTTGACCAGAATGTGTCATTCTGCATGAAAAATATGGTAAAATGAAACTTTAGTCTACGTAATAATCTAATTTGGGTGCTTTCTTGAAAGTAACTATCACAGCACTTGGAGACAAATTATATTTTCCTTTGTAAAGGCATGTGATATTAGGAATGTTACATTTATGGCATTAGCATCCCAGATGGGGCCTAAACTTGAGTGTAATGTTTAGAATCTAAAGTGAGAAAAGGCCATGATCATCTACCTAAAAAGAGTCTTAACAACTACTCAGAAAGAAGAAGAAAAAAAAAATAGAAGACTAGAAGCGTTGGAATAAGTTGCTAATGAAACGGTCTAAAAGTGAAGCATTACAACAAACCCCAAACATCGAAAACGAGAAAAGGGTTAAATACATGACAGGGAAACATCTCAGTGATGTTAATGAACAAGGAAGCACAGGCTTAACATAAAAATATATTTGATTTATGGATTACATCAAAATTGACACAAGAAAAGCTGCAAACACAACCCTTTTTTATGCTTCAGCAAGCCCTATCTTATAAATTATCTACAACAGGAGAGACCAGCTTTCATGCAGGTCCTAGCTCCAATAATAAGGCAAAACTGCTAGTGTCTGGGAAACTGTCTGAAAGAGTACAAAGATCACCTAAAATGCATGATAGCACATTATTTCTTGGCACTCGATGGTGGGCTTCCTTTGTTCTATTATCTAGTTCAGTAATCATGTAGGTTTAATATGGCTCAATAGGTCACTTTTGTGACTCTAGATTTGGATGAGTTCAACAAAGGATGCTCCTCATAATATAATCTACTGGTCTAAATTTCCTCAGGGATAAGTGCAACAACAGAGAGAAGCTACACATGGATCTAGAAATTAGATGACTCAAAACCATATGTAATGCAACGGGTTGCACATCCAAATCACAGGAAGTTGAACTTCATTTGTCAATAAGGTCTAAATGTTGAACATAAATCCATAACTGATTCATACATGAACCAAACATAAATTTCACAATATATAATAGAAGGGAATGAATCCTCTCATGTATTGTTTTAACATGATCATGTTTTGTGAAAGATCTCGGTCATTCATTCATATATCAACAGTCAACAATTAAAGTGACAAATTTCACTCTCTTATTTTACAAACTTTATCATTAAAATTGTGGCCATTGATTTACGAATGAATTATTGAGATTTTTCTTATGACATGGTCATGTAAACAAGACATGAGATGATCCATTCCCATAACACAAAAGAGAAAAATCAACTACCCTGAAGTCAGAAAAAATAATCTATATGGTAAGCACATCACTAGAGGGGAAAAGTATTAGCAACCAAATTAACGAGCTGTAAATGATGTACAAACAAAAATAAACTATTGGTGTTTGTACCTGAACTTCAGATGGACAAATTCATTGCCATCCTGTATTATCTTTAAACCAGGTGAAATCTTGATTTCTACCCAGCCATTTGGAGATGGTGTATGGCCGACTACATTAAGCAAAAAGTCAGACAAGACCACCTGAAGCTTAATTTGATCACCATATAGAACAAGTGTTTTGATTTCATCAGGAATTTCATGAAACAGCTGCAAGCTTTTTTCTCTTATCAAGATCATGACTTGACTGACAATGGCATCTAAAATATTTCCCAGAAGAAATTCTTCCATGTTTAGCTGCAAAGTGCTGCTATTATTGGCATAAAATGTGAGAAACTTTGTATTATTGTATGTTTGCCTAATTTGTACATATGATGGTATGAATGGAGATATGTATGCATAGAACATATTTAAAAATGATATCTTAAACATCAAGAATAAGAAGCGCAGAAAGTAAAGTACAACTCAGAGAGAATTCATGCCTATTAAAATGCAACAAGAACACTTACCCTTCATTAATACTTCCTAAATCTGTATCCCCAATAATTGCCATGATCTGTCTTTCACATGCATTACTAGTGTCAAGAAATTGTTTCTGGTTTTCTGAGACAGCTGTATCTTCCAAAAGTTTGTGTGTGAATCGTATACCATTTAAAGGATTCTTCATCTCTTGTCGTATATAAGCCAACTCCTTAGATTCAGATATGCTTTCTCGGCTCTGAGGCCTGTGTCCATCAGAGGGCTGATTCAAATCTGTCGATACAATCTGCAAGAAGCAGAAACAGCCAATCATATTCCCACCTGCATCAATCCTCTTGTTTGCTGTTATATAAGCCTCTATAAATTTTCCATTTCTATCAAAAAATCCAAATGGAAACTTCTCCAAATCTTGACCACTCATTCCACGATACAGCATAATCATAAAATTAGTCAGTGTATCTTGACCTTTCAATCGACAAAAACTTCCAAAGATTTCGCCAGGAAGCATTTTTCCTAAGATTTCATCTTTCTTCCAACCAGTTAGCCTTTCCATGGCTGCATTCCATTCAGAGCAGCAAGCATTCTCATCAGAAGCAAATATGGGTGGAATCAGTGGATTGAGACTCTGTATGATAGCTTTGTAATCACCTTCCAACTTAATGAATTTATCTAGAACAACTTTCTCATAAGTGATGTCCTGACCTACGAAGCATACCCCAACAATAGCATTTGTGTAGTCCCTACTAGTGCAGGCATTGGCCATGATATACACAACTTCCTTTGGTTGATGAAACCCAAATTGTTTTATTTTCAACTCAACATTTTTGTCCTCCTGGCCTGAAAAAACATTAGTAATCATATATTTGATTTTTATTCAGGAATGACAAAAAAATAAAACCAGAGAATTTTGAGGTGAAAATTCCCTGGTATTTTCACAAACTTATCAGTGGTATTTTCACAAACTTTCCCATGCATATTCTATTTATACAAAACCAGTCATTTAGTTTTTACATTCACATTGGTGAAAATGACAGTCACAACCTAGAAAAACATGAGACATTTGTTTGTCCATAGCCTTATAAATTTACGCCACGAACATTCATTCTTGAGATGTTCAGAGACTCAGAATCACCCCAAAATTAAATTTTAATATAAGAAGCTTAGGGGAGTACAGGATTGGCAAATGGAGAATAAATACTGAAGTACAGGATCACCTATATCTTATTATAGGATATGAACCTAGCTCCTGTGGGTTCAGTAGTTAAATAGCTATTGTACCAGGCCAGATTATCAATGTGGGTTTCATGAATTGAATATTTAAGATAATCATGATAGAATCAAAATCTAAAAGATGGCCCCCCATTGCTTCTAGCAAACTGCACAACAATTAAACAATGAATCATGAATAACATTTGAGTTAATAAAGTGTAAACTCCAGATTTACCATCATCTTTTCCATAATAACTTATTTACCTTGCATGGCTCTGCTTAGAATGTTTTTAATTGTTTCATGTGAGTCCTCATGTACTACTTCATTTACTAGGGATTTACCCATAGCTTCACTGGCCTGCAGACCTGTCAATTCTGCAATTTTTGCATTCCATCCATTGATTAGGCCACCTGAATCAACCCCAAAAATTGGAACTGTTGCGGTCTCGATTAATCTCACCATTTCAAATGCTACTGAACTGAGTTCATCCATCCCTCCCATTGCAGTGTCATTTTTATGTATATAATTTAGAGTCTTTGGGCCAGCGTTTTCAGTGTCTTGGAATGAATCTCTCATTATTAGTTGTAATGAGTGAATAGCATTGATTTCTGACACTTCCCAAGGCAAACTTTTGCTTTTGACTACTTCAAGAAAAGCTTTAAATGATGATCTAGGGTTCAATTTTCCTCCATCATCCTTATCCTCCGGATGATGCTTGGCTCCTCCCCATTTCATTTCCTTAGCTGTGTGCGACCTGAACCAGAACAAGAAATGTCTTGAATTGATTCTTGCTGTGGCCATGCCACAAACTGCATCCCCCAGTGAAGCAGCACCTGGATAACCTGCATCAGCCAAACTATCTGTGGTCAAACCTGTTGAGTCCCCATGATTATTAAGTAGCCATTCTGCAATATCTTTCACCTGTGATTCAGTTGGGGTTGTGCCTAACAACCAACAGTTTCCATCATAATACAAGGCTGCCCCATCACACTTCACAAGATCCATGATACTTGGGGATTGGGTCACAATGCCAAACGGTGCATCACGTAGGAGCATGTCACACAGTAAGGTTTGTGTTTTAAGAATTCTCTTCTCTGCCATCTGTGATGCCAATTGAATCTCCATGTAAAGCTGGAGTCCAAAAGCCTGCATAAGGAACTCACAAGCATACCGAACTGGAAAAGGAAGATAGCGCGGTGAAGTGTGATGACAAACTAGCAAACCCCAAAGCCTTGTCGTATCATTTCCATTGACTATAACTGCCATCACCAGAGAGGCAATTGAGCCCATATTAGCCATGTACTGTTTGTGACAACCATGCGGTGACCTAAGGGTTGAATTGACCAAGCAAAGAGGTTGCCTTAACTCTTCACTCTGAATGACCTTAACAGGCTTTGAATGGCAATCACAAATTATCCTGACCCGGTTTTGCTTGAACAAGAAGCGAGCAGCTTGAGGGATATCTGTGGCAGGATAATGCAAACCCAAGTAAGGCTCTAAATCTGACCTCCTAATCTCAGATACAACCTCACCATGATCATCCTCATGGAACTTATAAACCATAACCCTGTCATACCCTGTAAGCTTCTGCACTTCCTCAACAACAGTGTCACACAACAAACCAATATCTTCCCCAGGAAGAGATTGGAGCCTTGAAATTGCTCTAACAGCCAACTTCTGTGACTGAACTGCCCCAGCAAGTGATAATGCAGGATCACTTGACCTTGCAGGCTCCAAATCAATGACAACCCCAACATCAATCCTGTGCAGTATGGCATAAAATGGCTTCTGGGTTGTCCTTGCAAAGACCCAAATCGGGTTCAAAAGCGAAATTTCCCTTGAAGCCACAGCTTTTGCAAGGGAAGCCCCAGAAGCAGGAGTGAAGAGGGTTGTGGCATCAACCCCAATCAAACCCGTGAACTGTCCTGAATCAGTTTTCCTCTCTAAACCCAACAATTGAAAGCAATTTTCACTGTATCCAATGATTTTAAAAGTGGATTCCTCAATTGCAAGCATACAACCAAAGGGTTGGATGAGACCACCCCTTTGGATTTTAGACAAATATGTAGTCATTTTCTCCTCGGACACTAACCTGGGAGGATCAAGAACCGACCTTGAGTAATCAAATGATTTGCCAGAAACACCAGATTGCTCAAACTCAGCCAGAATCTTAGCATCTGCACTGTACTGAGCAAGTGCCTTGTCCCTATTGATGGCAGTGTTGGTGTTCATGTTGCTTTCAGCTGATGTTGAGAAACTTGTGTCTTTCAATTTCCCTCTACTTCCAAGGCTCATTTTTTTAACAAAGGTGTTTGCTAGCACTTGCAGCTTCTCTTCACTTCTCTTCTCTATTCTATGCCTGTGTCTTATGATGTTGCTGCTTCCTCAACAATATCATGGGTTGCACACGTCTTTGTCATGGTTTAGTTGGGTGTGGGCTACACCATGCTTAAAATCGTTTCTGTGCCCTGCATTCATCCATCATTAATCACATGCCAGTTTCATGTTAGCATTTTGCTTTTGTGGTTGTGAATCTTGTGATTTGTCAATGAGATATATAGTCATATATATATCGGAGACCCGCTGCTTGAAAGTACATTGCTGACAAACCAACAATGAATAGCCATATGCACTGAACTCACCCACTTAATGTCTCTCTCCTATATTGTGTTCAATCCAGTTCAAGCAAATTACCGCTAAAGGCCTAAAACCATAGGTATGGAAACAAATTAGTAAATTTTGGCGAAATGCCGCGACGGACCATCAGCCGTCGTCGAAGAAGTCTGAGATAATAATTAATTCGTATTATCTTATCTTAACTTTTAATTATTTTCAGACTTCTTCAATGATTTTAAAAGTACAGCGTGGCATTTTGAAGGAAAATGATAGGAAAACCGTATATAATTAGTTAGCTTAGAAATATCAAGTTAAGGGTGGACATGCGTCACTCAAACCGGTTTTTTTTTTAATTGAATCGAACTGTTTTTATTTTTTTTTCAAACCGAACCAGTTCTGTACTCATTGAAAAATGAAAATTACTTCGGATATGCAAACTCATTCTGAACCGGTTAGAATCGGTTTTTCAAATCAGATTTTTGGTTGGTTTGATTCTTAAATTGATTTATAAAATTCGCAAAACTAATTTAAAAAAATATGATTCGGTTCGATTATTTTGCAAAATTCTACATCCAATTACTTAAAATTGCAATATTTTTTTTTTAATCAAAACTGATTTAACTCGGTTCTAATATTATCGGATCTATATTGAGATGGTTAGCCCAATAAATTTTTTTTTTAATTTTCAAACTCAAAATCAAGATCATTAATTAAGAAGAATAAATTCATTTTCAATACTCACTTGAAAGTTATTATTTTCGGTTATTTTACTTTAAGAAAATAATGTGTTAATATGTACTTTAATCAAAAGTGAACATCTAGGAAACAAGTTTTTTTTTTCTTTTTGCTAATCTGGTCAGGATTGAAATTTTAGATTTTGGAGATTACCAAAAAAAAAAAATTTAGATTTTGGAATTTTAAAAGATAAAATAAAAGTTTGAAGTGAAGTTCTAAAAATAATAGTAGAAGAGTTTTAAATTTGTTTCATTTTTAATATCTTAAAATTTATAATATTATGTTCAAAATTATTTCACCTTTTAGTAGAAGAATCCCACCTTAATCCTACAATCAATAGAATTGTGTTTCCCTTTTTTTATCAATTGCTCGTATCCTAAAAAAAAAAAAAAAAAACCCAACTGTCATCTACTCATATATAATAAATTGGGCATAGTTAGAGTTAATTTGAGGTGATGCGACGTGAAGTGCAAAGTACCATTTTTTTTTATTAGTTTGAGATATTTAATAACTGAGGCTTTAAAGGTTTATTCGAGAATGGTATGTATAAAAATTATGCCGTCTCACATTTTTGCTTTTATAAATGTAACTCAAATAAAACTAGGGTTTAATATTCTTATTTTTGCTATAGCATTTTTTTTCCTAACACATTTATATTAATGTAAGTAGATCTCACTAATTTTTCTCTCGTTTTTCTTCACAATGGGACTCATTACCTTTATGTAATTGTAGTAGAAAATAAATTTATACAGTAAAAATAAAAATATTTTTCCCAAAAAATTATACGCACAATATGTACTTTAATATTATCAATTTTGAGAAAAATATTTTTTCTTTTATAAAATAGTCATTTTAGTTAAAATTAGTATTTTTTATTTAAAAGTTAAATTAAAAAAAACCTCTTACTTTTTTCTTCCATAATTTTTATTATGTATCTTTTTCTCTCATATAGAATAACACAAATTTATGTTCTTAACAAACACTAATCTCATTAACTTTATATAATGTTGAATTAATTTTTATTTTATTGCTTAACTTCTCCAAACTGATATTAAAAATATTATCCACTTAACCTTATCCTTCACAATCTTGTGTGTGTGGCATTTTAAGGACAAAAAAAATCTTGAAGTGGAATACTCGTTGACCATAAACATAAATTGTGAACCATACAACTGGACTAGGGAAAATGTCAATACTGTCCTTGCGTTTTTTTCCGTGGCTCACCGATTGCAACGCATGCTTTCTTCCGGTTTCCTTTCAAGGGCCAAAGAAAATAGTGTGTAATGTCATATTATTCAATATCAACGTAAAGATTGCATCTTATCTAATGGTTTGTTATTATTATTATTTAAAAAAAATGACTAGTTTTATAATAAAGTAATATAATAAAAGTATAAAATTGTTGGTTATCTATAATTTTGAATAACTTTTCGTAAGTTAACTGCTATACTTTCTTTGTTTCAAAAAAAAAAAAAAAAACAACTGCTAAACTTTCTAATTGCGGCTACAATGAGTAGTCAATTGAAAATGTTAAATATACACCACAGACTTTATTATATAACTGACTAAATTAGAGATATAAAAAGATTTAATCCCTATATATTAATCTATTATTATAACACTTTCTTCGAGTTGGAATATATAGATTATATGCATCAAGTTTGGTACTGATCGGACCAAATACGGTATGGATAGCCCAATACGTATTAAGCCCAAATTACACACGATTGAGACTCCTTCGGTAGTTTCTGGTCTGGGCCTGGTATTGCAGTTGGGGTGAGCCTGAGCTCTTTGTCCTTCGTCCTTCTCGTTGCACCAAATGAGGGGAGTACTTGCGAAGACACTCTGATGCTTAAGTCAGTATCAGAGGCAGGTGTTTATGTTGTGAAAGTAAAGGATGATCGTACCTTGGTGATACATCGTGTGTTTATATAGTAGTTGAGATGTGTGCTTGGAGGATGTCTTTCTTCATGGTGAAGGCAAAGGTTCCTTGGTGCCAACGTAGTGTGGCTGTCATGGTTTAAATGTTGAGGAGTTTGCCGCCACGGTGTCTAGTAGTAGAGTCATGGCGAGCTGGAGCTGTCTGTTGCTTACTGGTGTGGGGGCGCGGTGGTGTTGCCTTGGCCCTTAAGTTTACTGTCTGTAGAAGGTATCCTGTTGCGAGGTGAGTAAGTACGTCTTGCGTGCCGCGATGAGGTCACCGCGCCTTGTATGACGCAATATGGTCATCGCGCTGGTGTGCCGCGATATGGTCATCACGTCCGTACCTGTCCTTTATGCCTTGTTCTGGGTCCTTAATGGATTTGGGCTTCCATGTGTTATTGGGCCCTGGTTGGGCCTATATTATATCTGGATCAGATGCCCCCTAGCTTGCGATGTTGTCATTTGACAAGGCCGTGAGGTATATGTCCTTTGTATGAGGCGCGGTAGTTTGTGACTCATATGTCGTTCTCGAGTTCATCGCGCGATTCTTCGTGTTCCATCGCGCGTGAGTCTTCAGTACCGAAAATTCCAAGTCCATTGCCCTTGAATGTGATTTATCCAGCCGGATATCCTTTTAAGAAAAGGAATTTTGATAATTATAAACCTGTGTCCACTAACTTGTCTTCTTCCACTGATTCCTCTTCTTCTGAATCAGATTTCGTGTCTCCTCGTATCAAGGAAATTATGGCGAAACGTGGTGCTCGCGATAAGAAGATCGTGAAGACGCAGCCTGAGGACAAGAAGAAAGTTGTGTGCCTTAGTCCGGAAGAAGAACCTTCGGAGACGCGGTCCCTGAATAGGCAAAGCATCCGGGATGTGGATACCCTGGAGTGGGTGTCAGACTCAGTTTTGAAGATTGAGTCAGTATTTTGCTCGCCTGGAGAGTTGGCGGAAGTAACTGCGGCCCTCCATCTGACCCCGAATAAAGCTTTTGACAACCAATGGGAGATTGGTGTCGTCCCGAAGAATGAGCGTGTTTGCTCATCGCGGGCTGAGGGATCATCCAGGCATTTCATGATGATGTACTTCTATTTTTTCTTGTCCATAGGTGTTCATCTTCCCTTTTCTTCTTTTTTTTGTAACCTGTTGGCGCACTTGAATGTGGCGCCTTCACAGCTGACCCCCAATGCCTGGGGTTTTATTAGAGTGTATGAGATGGTATGCAAGGCCTATGGCCTTTTCCAATCTGTACCGTCCTTTTTATATATGTTCAGTGTGATGCCCCCTCGCAACAGCTGGATATCTTTTAGGGGCAAAGTAAAATTCTGTGGGTCGTACTGCAGAAAGATTAACAAGAGGAGCGCTGAGTATTTCAAAATCTATCCCACCGAAGGTACCACGTCGTTTTTTCTAGGCGAGGACGAGGCTCCTATCTTCCCCTTGTACTGGTCGGAATATCCGTCAAGTAGTTCCGTGTTAAACTATACCTTTACTGATTTGAGCGATCTAGAACAGCAGACGGTGACTGCTTTTGGTAACATCGCTCGTGAGGCCTCTGCTACAAGCACACTGGATACATACACCATTTTAAACGAATATTCTGAGGATGATATTCGAGCTTACCTGGGTAATGTGAATCCTTGCTATTTTCTGTTTCTAGTTGTTTTTATCTAAGTATCTTTGTGTATCGCGATGTGCAGGTATCAAGTAAGTATGCTTAATCACCCCTGCGTTTGTTCTATTTTGCAGATAGTATAAGGATAACGCCAGTAAGCCGAATGAAGCAGATCGCTGCCAATCGCGCAGCTCTTGCTGGCTCCTCATCCTCCTCACAACCTATCAAGACCGTTGCTGCTGTTGCTGAGTCGAGTGGTCATGCCGCCACACAGCTGAAATCTCCCTTGAGGCTTCACACTCCTCCCGCTCCTCCTCAAGAAGTTATTCCTCCTGTAGTAGTAGAAGGGGATATCGCGAAAAGGAAGAAAAGATCCTTCAAGGAGATGTCCGATGGGTCAGCTGTATGATGGCTGGATTTTGACTGGGGATCCGTGACGAACCTGCGTGTTCAAGGCAGGGATTTCGGTTCTCACCTGGAAGCTCTGTCGTGGGACCAATGGCGTTAGCTGGCCCAGGGCTTGATCTCGGCGGGCTAATTTATCATGACCGCGCCTGGTGAGTA